ATCGCGTTTCAACCAGGCGGCGATACCCGGCGCAATTATATTTGCTATTTCTGGGAGCATCGCACGTCTCGGTTTATGCATCAATTGCACTGATGTATGCTGCACATTCTCAATAAAGATCAATCAATAAAATTGATATCTGGCATGACTAGCCAGATGTATTCCAAATTATATTATATCTCATGCGTGCAATGCTTTTCAATTAACTAATTCATACAGTTTAAAAGTGCTTTTTTAAACTACAACGTTTCACCATTTTATCTATGAAAAAAAATTTTATTCAGAAGAGTGTTGCCTTTTACTCTACAAATAATCACAAAATAATCATAAAACAAAAGGCTTACTTAGAAACAAAGATAACTAGATGTATTATGAAGCAGGTAATCAGCAAAATGAAAAAGGTAACTGAGAATGTTATTTCCAAATCACTATAAGAAAATTGGATCGTGATGGCACGGGTTGGCGTCGTGATGGCACGGATTTTGGTGGCACAGGTTAATAACTGGCTTTGTACGTAAAAGATTCGAATTGGCACGGATTTGTTGGTCCGTGTTGGTCTGGACACCAGAGCCAATTAGACCATTTAATGACTTGGGTTTTGCAACACTTTACTAGTTCAAATGGCACGGGTTTTGGTACAGGTTGGTGATGTAATGGCACGGGTTTCAGTGACCCGATTTGTACGTAGAAGTTTGAATCGTCACAGATTTTTTTAGCCCGTAGTGAGCCGTAACCAGTGCCAATTGGACTGTTAATGAATTGGGTTTGTACGCTTTGATAGTCCTGATTTGTATGTACTGTAGAAGTCTGAATTGGCATGGATTTTTTGCCTCATGATGAACCATATACTAATGCCAATTGGATCGCTAACAATTCAGGAATTCAGGCTTATAACACTTTACCAGTCCAATTGACATACTATCCTAATAACATATATACATCATTATAGCATATATAAACATTAAAATATAAAATTTTAATAATGTAAATGAAATATTTTATTATATTCTATTCGGTTTAACTACAGTAATGTAAAACTATATTAGCTTAAATTTTAACTTTGCTTAATCTAGTTTTGTTACCAAAGTTACTATTAATATTGGTTTTTTTTGAATTTTTCAGTTTTCATTATCTAATGGTGAAGATAGCAAAGTAGCTTTCTTTTGAACCCGTTTAGGCAAAGAATTTTCAGAGTTAACATTGTATTTTTGTCATGTTCGATTGCTTATTCAATCTGTAGTTTTTATAACAGGTGTGTTTGATTTTAATGTATCTACAAATAAGCCAAATTTTATTAAATATTAAATATTAAATAAGTTTAAATATAGGCTCTATAAATTTACCAGTATATAATTGAATATTTCTAGAGATTTCTTCGTCACTACTAAAAGTAGAATCAAATACCGTATCGCTTGTAGAGTCAAAAAGTTTATGGTTTCTCGAAACAGCCAAATTATTGCTAAAATTAGGTGTTACAAAACTACTAGAATTAAACGTAGTAAATTTTCTTCATTATCATCTAAATAAAATAAAATTGATTGTTAAAATTTTTGATTAGATTTTATAATTTAAATAGACATAAATTAAAATTATTTTACTTTAAGTAAATATATACATATATTATTTAATAAATTAATTAATTATTTAAAATAAAAATCTTAGCTAACTTACATTCATTCATAATAGTATGCTCCTGATCTTTCTAATAATATTCACAAAGTTCCATATTAGATTCAAATATATTTTTTTTGTTATTATTGCTATATTCTTCAATATAATTATTAATTTGGTAATATTTTTGATTCATTTTTACTTGTAACTTACACAATAGAAATAACAACTTTTGAATTTGTTTTTTGTTTCTTCATCTAAAATTATCAGCTACAAAAATATAAATTAATTTTTAAAAATTTTAATTAATAAAATTATATAAGCATATTAAGATTTACCTCTATCTACTAATTTTGTTTTAAATAAAAAAACAAAATTCTTTCTGCTGATTTTTTATACACAAATTTACAAAAAAAAATTAACAAAAAAAACTACAAAAACACATAAAGATTAATAGAAAATTAAACTTACAGCTTTAAGAAAAAAGAAAGAGAACTATTAAGAATATTCAGTCTCTTAAGAAACTTGAATAGGAAGAGCAGAAGTGACAAAGATATAGAAAAAAATATAAAATCATTATTAGTTTTTGTGCTTGGTAAATTTTTGGAAAAATCAGCCTTGATCCTATAATATAGATCTGTTTTGGTGATACAAAAATCACAATATATAATGAAGAATAAACAAAAAAACATATCAAAAATCACATGACAAAAATAAACAAGGTTGATAAACAAGTACAACAAATGATAACAATAACCAACAATAAAAAACAACAAGTTACATAAAGCAAACTTTAGCAGAATATTCTGAAAAACTTATTATACCAAAAGAAGCTGAGGTTCAAATAGAGGTACTCAATAAAATATAATTGCAGGACAATACTAACATTATATTCAGAAAAAGAACTTATTACAAAAAAAGAAGTAGAGGCCCAATTAGATATTCTTTATGAAGAATTAGAGCAATACATGTCAGGAGAACTTAAATATACAAAACTTGCACTTAGAAAAAATAACATCCCTTAAACCATCCCAAGTTAGCAGCCATATTTAGCTGCTAAAATGTTAAAATTGTTATGTCTGATCTATTTTTTTAAAAATTTATTATATTTAAAAAAAATT